ACAGGCGCCCGCCACAACACCCGGCCATTTTTTTGGTTGCAGCCATCATTGTTGTTTGGCGGGCCCGGGCTGGGGATTCGAACCCGCCACCTGAGGTGTATGTGGCTGGCGCCTTAGCCACTTGAGCCACAGGCGCCGAGCCGAGTAAAATTTTTTGTTTCTCTTATAGCAAACACTGATTCCTACTATTGGTTATAATTTTTTTTTTTCTGGTTCTCTCAGACTTTCTGAGTACACAATCATGCCATTTACAAAAATATTGTTTCCTCCTTTTCTTTCTTTTTTTTTGTTTTTCATTAAAGAGACTGGATTTTGCTCTGTTACCTAGGCTGGAGTGATATGGTGGTGCCATCATACTTTCATGTAAACCTGAACTCCTGAATTCTTGGGCTGAAGCCATTTTTTCCTCAGCTGCCCAAGTAGTTGGGACTATAGGTGTGCACCATCACACCCAGCTATGTTTTTTCTTGTCAATGTTTTTATCGTTTAGTTCTTTTTTTTTTTTCTGAGATAGTCTTAGTATGTCACTCGGTAGAGTGCTGTGGTGTCACAGCTCACAGCAACCTCAAACTCTTGGGCTTAAGTGATTCTCTTGCCTCAGCCACCCATGTAGCTGGGACTACAGGTGCCTGCCACAACGCCTGGCTATTTTTTGGTTGCAGTTGTAATTGTTGTCTAGCAGGCCCAGGCCAGGCTCGAAACTGCTAGCCTCAGTGTATATGGCTGGTGCCCTACTCACTGAGGTACGAGCATTGAGCCTTGTATAGTTCTTTTTACTGCTGAGTGTACTGACTAGGACTTTTGAAACAATATCATATAATAACAGTTTTTTTTGTTTTGTTTTTTGCCAACTACCCATGTTTAGGTCTTTCTCCTGATTTCGAAGAGGTTTCTAAGGTTTGCTGATAAGTAGAGTTAGTATTTCTTTACCAAATTAATGTTACTACACTCTATTTCTTAATATCTATTTAAAATTAAATACATAACAGGATTTTTTTCTTTTTCAGAGAGTGTCTCAAGCTGTCAGCCTGGGTAGAGTGCTGTGACGTCATAGCTCACAGCAAACTCCAACTCGGGCTCAAGTGATCCTCTTGCCTCACTTTTTCTATTTTTAGTAGAGACCGGATCTTGCTTTTGCTCAGGCTGGTCCTGAACTCGTGAACTCAAGCAATTCACCCACCAGGCATGGTGGCCCATACCTGTAATCCTAGCATAGTGGGAAGCCGAGTTCAGGAGTTCAAGACTAGCCTGAGCAAGAGCACTAGCTCCTAGCACTCGGCCTCTCAGAGTGCTAAGATTACAGGTGTGAGCCACTGCCCTCAGCCAGCTTGTCAAATTTATTGAAATAAAGCAGTACCTGTTCTTTTTACTTTTTTTTTTTTTTTAAGAGACAGAGCCTCATTTTATTGCTCTTGGTAGAGTGCTATGGCATCACAGCTCACAGCAACCTCCAACTCCTGAGCTTAGGCGATTCTCTTGCCTCAACCTCCCAAGTAGCTGGGCCCCCAGGTGCCTGCCACAACACCTGGCTATTTTTTTTTTTTTTAAAGAGACAGAGTCTTACTTTCTTGCCCTTGGTAGAGTGCTATGGCATCACAGCTCACAGCAACCTCCAGCTCTTGGGCTTAGGTGATTCTCTTGCCTCAGTTTCTCAAGCAGCTGGGACTATAGGCGCCCGCCACAACACTGGCTATTTTTTTGTTGCAGTTTGGCCAGGGCTGGGTGTAAACCCACCACCCTCAGTATATGGGGCCGGTGCCCTATTCACTGAGCCACAGGCGCTGCCCACGCCTGGCTATTTTTTATTGCAGTATGGCCAGGGTCAGGTTTGAACCTCCCACCCTCGGTATATGGGGCCAGTGTCCTCCCCACTGAGCCACAGGTGCTGCTCTAGTACCTGTTCTTGTGATATATAATAAGCTCTTCCATATTTGTAGCTATACCTTATTTACATATTTAAATTAATGTACATGAAACTTCACCAATTCCTAGTTCTGAAATTTAAATTTAAGAGAATAAGGCAGAAAAGGCCAAGGAGATGCACAAACACATATTATGTGTTATATACCGATAGTAAACTTTTCCCTTTGTTTACCACCCTCCCCGAGACGTAAGCACACATATACACACCTGTCCATCTACTAAAGCTGTAAGTGGAAGATAATCAAATAGATCGGTAAAATATTTCCAGACATTGGCATTCCCATACTTTCGTAGACATTCATCATAAAAGCCATATACTTGGGTAATTTGTCGGCTTTCATGATTTCCTCTCAATATTGTAATGCGTTCTGGATAACGCACCTGGAAGAAAATGAAAAGAAACCCAAGGTAGAAACACATTTCTGCTACTGTCACGTTAGGTACATTACTCTCTCACCCACTTCTTTAAATGGTTCTTTTGGCCACTAGTAAATAAAAAAATTTTGTTTGGAGACAGGGTCTTACTCTAGGCTTAGAGTACGCTGGTGTCAGCCAAGCTCATGGCAACCTCAAATTCCTGAGTTCAAGTGATTCTCCTACCTCAGCCTCCGAAGTAGCAGGGACTCCAGGTACTGACCACAATGCCTGGCTAGTTTTTCTATTTTGTTTGGTAGAGATGGGATCTTGTTCTTGCTCAAATTCCTGAGCTTGGCTTTCCAGTATGCTAGAATTACAGGTATGGGCCACCATGCCTGGCAGAAAAAACTTGGAGGCAGGCTTGGTGCCTACAGCTCAGTGGCTAGGGTGTCAGTCACGTACACTGGAACTGGTGGATTCGAATCCAGCCTGGGCCTGCCAAACAACAATGACAACTACAACCAAAAAACAGCTGGGTGTTGTGGCAGGCACCTGTAGTCCCAGCAACTTGGGAGGCTGAGGCAAGAGAATCGCTTGGGCCCAAGAGTTGGACGTTGCTGTGAGCTGTGACGCCACAGCACTCTACTCAGGGTGACAACTTGAGACTCTGTCTGGGAGTTGGGGGGCAAAACTTGGAGGCAGAGTTTATGCTACCCAATAATCGGCCAGCAAAGTCAACTAAAGTGGGACCAGTCAAGGAATTTGAGTTTGATTCTACAAGCAATATGCAATCACTGAATAGTTTAAGAGTAGGGAATTAACAAGATAAAAGTGTTAAACATGCTTAGTTTGGTGGCTTGAGCCTAATACTCTGAGAGGCTGAGGTGGGTGAATCACTTGAGCTCAGAAGTTTGACATCAGTCTGGGCAAGAGCAAGACCTTATCTCTTCAAAAGTAAGCTAGGCAGGGTGGCACACACAGCGGTTGAGCCTGGGACTTCGATGTTGCAGTGAGCTATGATAATGTCATTGCATTTGAGCCAAGGAGACAGAGTGAGACTTCGTCTCAAAACAAAAACAAACAAAAAACACCATGGAGTGTCACAAAGTGAGACTCTGTCTCAAAAAATAAAAAGGTATGGAGGGAGGAAGGGAGTAAAGAAGGAAAGAGTTAAATCCTGTTGGAGACAGTAAGACTTTGTCTCCAAAATAAGTAAATAAACTTTTTTTTCTGAGACAGTCTCACTTTGTTGCCATCAGAGTGCTGTGGCATCATGGCTCACAGGAACCTCAAACTCTTGGGTTCAAGCAATACTCTTGCCTGAGCCTCCCTAGTAGCTGGGAGTACAGGTGTCTGCCACAACACCCAGCTACTTTTTTTTTGAGACAGTGTCTATGTAGCCCTTGATAGAGTGCTGCAGCATCACAGCTCACAGCAACCTCCAATCCTGGGCTTAAGTGATTCTCTTGCCTCAGTCTCCCAAGTAGCTAGGACTGCAGGCATCTGCTACAACGCTCAGCTATTTTATTGTTTTTGTTGCAGTTATCTTTGTTTAGCAGGTCCGGGCTGGGTTAGAACTCACCTGCCTCTGTGTATATGGCTGGCAAGCTACCAGTGCTGAGCCAACCTGGCTATTTTTAGAGATGGGGTCTCACTCTAGCTTAGGCTGGTCTTAAATTAAGTTCCTAAGCTCAGGTAATCTGCCTACCTTGACTTCAGAGTGCAAGAATTATAGATGTGAGCCACAGCATCCCAGCAGAATAAACATTCTTTAAAAAAAGAAAGACTTATTGGCTGGGGAAGGTGGCGCATACCTCTAATCCAAGCACTTTGAGGCCTAGGCTGGAGGATCTTTTGAGACTAGGGATTTGAGACCAGGCTGAGCAAGGGAAAGACTGTCACTACAAAAAAATAATTTTTTTTTTGTAAAGTATAGTGGAACATGCCTATAGTCTCAGATTCTTAGGAGGGTGAGGCAGCAGGATCACTTGCATCCAGGAGTTTGAGGCTGCAGTGAGCTATGAAGATGCCACTGCATTTTAGCCCAGGTGACAGAGCAAGACCCTGTCTCAAAAACAAACAAACAAACAAACAAAACAAAAAGAAAACACACACACACAAATAAACAAAACCATAAAAGGACATACATATTTATGGCTCAACATAAGGGGGTAAGACGGGTAAGTCACTAAGTCCAATATGATCCCAAGACTTCAGCTACAGATTACCCAGGAGAATGATACATTTACCAGAAATAGGCAGGAGAGGTCAATGCATCATTCTCACCTCTCTAAAAATAGATGTAAAACTATTATTTTTAAGGGGTATAAAATGAATGAATGATAAAATAGAACAAATGATATGCAATACTGCTATTCCTGTCAAAGAAAATTGAATTTCATTAACATACCTTTAATGCTACAAGAAGAGTGACCGTCTCCACTGAATAATAACCTCTGTCCACGTAATCGCCCATGAATAAATAGTTTGTATCTGGTGATTTCCCACCAATTCTAAAGAGTTCCATAAGATCATGAAATTGGCCGTGCACATCTCCACAGACAGTAACAGGACAACGAACCTCCTGCACGTTTGATTCTTTTGTTAGAATTTCTTTAGCCTGTTAGAAAAATGAAATTAACAATTAAAAAGTAATTCTATTACAAATTTAAAAGTGTTATTAAAAGAAAATTTGAGACTTTCACCATTAACAAAAATTGATTCTCACTGGGTAAAAGATTTAAACTTAAGACATGAAACTATAAAAGTGCTAGAAGAGAGTGTAAGGAAAACACTTGAAGAAATCAGCCTGGGAGAATATTTTATGAGGAGGATGCCCCAGGCAACTGAAGCAACACCAAAAATACATGACTGGGATGTGATCAAACTCAAAAGCTTTTGCACAGCCAAGAGCATAGTAAATAAAGCAAATAGACAACCTTCAGAATGGCAGAAGACTTTTATAGGTTATGCTTCCGACAAAGGTCTGATAACTAGTATCTACAGAGAACTCAAACTAATCAATAAGAAAAGAACAAATAACCCCATTTCTATGTGGGCGAGAAACTTGAACAGAAACTTTTCTGATGAAGACAGGCGCATGGCCTACAAACACATGAAAAAATGCTCATGATCCTTAATCATCAGAGAAATGCAAATCAAAACCACTTTGAGATGTCCTCTAACTCCAGTAAGATTAGCCCATATCACAAAATCCCAGAACTATAGATGTTGGCGTGGATGTGGAGAGAAGGGAACGCTTCTACACTGCTGGTGGGAATGCAAGCTAATACAGTCTTTTTAGAAAGAAGTTTGGAGAACACTTAAGGAACTAAAAGTAGACCTACCATTTGATCCTGCAATTCCTCTACTGGGCATCAAAAATTATTTTACAACAAATACATTTGCACCAGAATGTTTATTATAGCCCAATTCATAATAGCCAAGACATGAAAAAGCCTAAGTACCCATTGTCTCATGAATGGATTAATAAATTATGTATGTACACCATGGAATACTATGCAGCCATAAAAAGATGGAGACTTCACATCTTTTATGTTCACCTGGATGGAGCTGGAACATATTCTGCTTAGTAAAGTATCTCAAGAATAGAAAGGAAAGTATCCAATGTACTCAATACTACTATGGAATCACTATGTATATACCTACAAACTCATAGGAATGGCAAAACATAACTATAGTCCAGAAAATAGAAGGGAAGAGGAGAGAGAGGGGAGGGGAGGGGGGATACGGGAGGAGGGAGGGTATTTGGAGGGACCTCACCTAATGTGCATGATGCAATGGTACATTTCAAAACTATTAAGAAGTGAGTGTAATTGTGATGGACGTGCTACTTAATTCAAAGAAAGCATTTCACATTGTATACTGAAGCAGTGCCCTGAACCCCATAAATGCATCAATGTACAAAGTAATGATTTAATAGAAAAGAATTAAAAAAAAAAAAAGGAAAGAAAATTTGAGGCTGGGTGCCTGTAGCTCAGTGAGTAGGGCGCCAGCTACATACACCGGAGCTGGCAGGTTTGAGCCCAGCCTGGGTCTGGCAAGCAGCAATGACAACTGCGACCAAAAAATAGCTGCGTGTTGTGGCAGGCGTGTATAGTTCCAGCTACTTGGGAGGATGAGGCAAGAGAATCGCTTAAGCCAAAGAGTTTGAGACAAAGAGTTTGTGAGCTGTGACACCACAGCACTCTAGAGGGCAACATAATGAGACTCTGTCTCAAGAAGAAAAGAAAACTTGAGGGAAAAACACTTTGTGCCCCATAAAAGCATAAACAAAAAACCACGATGAGATACCACTTTACTAGAATGGCTATGTAAAAAAGATAGTAACAAGTGTCCACAAGAATGGAGAAATCAGAACTCTCATATACTGCTGGAGGGAACAGAAACTGGTGCAGCTGTTGTGGAAAACAGCCTGGCAGCTCCTGAAAAAGTTAAACAGACTCATCATAGCATCTAGCAATTATACTTCTAAGAATATACATAAGAGAAATGAAAATGTGTTTATATATGTTCATGGTATTTGTAATAGTCAAAAAGTGGAAACTAGCCAAATGTTCACCAACTGATGGATGAATAAAATATAGAATATGTATTAAATGGAATATTATCCAGAAATAAATGAAGTACTGATACCTGCTACCATTGTGAAAACATTATGCAAAGAGAAAGAAGCCAGTCACAAATGGTCACATACACACAAATCCATTTACCTGAAAGGTCCAGAACTGGCCTATCTCCAGAGACAAAAGTAGATTAGAGCTTAGAGCCTGGGTAACAGGGGAGCAGACAGGAGGGTTCGAGATTACTTTTGAGAGCAATATAATTTAACACTGCCATGGATACACATATGTGAATGTACTAAAAGCCGTTATGGTGCCAGCCACATACACTGAGGCTGGGGGGTTGGAATCCAGCCCAGACCTGCCAACGACAACTGCAACAAAAAATAGCTGGGGATTGTGGCAGGCACCTGTAGTCTCAGCTACTTGGGAGGGTGAGGCAAGAGAATCACTTAAATCCCAGGAGTTGGAGGTTGATGTGAGCTATGATGCCAGAGCATTCTACCCAGGATGACAGCTTGAGGGTCTGTTTCAAAATAAATAAATAAATAAAAATCAATGTTTGAAACCACCCACAGCAATATAGTGAGATATCACATCACTTAAAAAAGAATTTTTCTTTTTAGGCCTGCAATCCCAGCTACTTGGGAGGCTGAGGTAAGACAATCACTTAAACCCAAGAGTTTGAGGTTGCTGTGATGCCACAGCACCAAGGGTGACATAGTGAGACTCTGTCTCAAAAAAAAAAAAAAAAATCTAGGCTGCAAGGGGCTACCATCAGGCTACTACTGCATCTTAGCCTGGGGTGACAGGGGCTCCGTCCCTTTAAAAAACAAACAAAAAACCCCTGAAGCTGTTCAACTGTAAACACACACATTCTTATACTAATTCACAGGCCAACCTTTACTTTCTTTAATTATCTTACATTTACAGAGTTAAAGTTAGAATATACCATTGGGTGGCTTAGAGAATAGGATTTATGTATACACACTGGCAAATCAAATGTTCTTAAAAATTCAAGTTCATTAAAACAGCTCATCTATTTAGCAACTTGCCTAATACGAAAAAGACCCTAGACTCAGAAAGAATAAAAAAGACCTCAAAGTAAAACAGATGTGATAAAAAGCACATGTACCTCCCCATCAATCCACCAGAAGAGTCTTTTAGGCCTTATTTTGGACCTACTTACTTGTTATGTACAAAATTCCAATATGCTATTTAGGAGTTCCCAAGTCTATGAAAAAATAGAAATAAAAAACCAAGAAAGATAAAAAGTAAGAACTGGGACTAATATACACATGCAAAATGAAAGGCAGAAATAAGAATATGGTGATAGCAACGAAACCAAAGCAATAAAACACATACAGGAAGAAGCTGAAAGTAGAACCAGTAGATGACATGTCAGACAGATAGGACAGTGGAATTTTAGGGACATGCTCTACCCTTTCTGTGAATTGCTAATCTAAAGAGCATTTAAAATCATGGATTTGAATTTCATGACACACACAGTCTAACATTCTTGACATGAGGAATACTTAGCTGTATTATTCTAGAAACAAAATCACAATGAAGTTTGTATATACTGGTACACTATAGGAATAACAAAGAAAGTTACTCTATCCCTGGATTAATCTATGCCAACCAGACATACCTAGTCCAGATTTTCAATTTGAAGTGACTAACTAAATAGCAGGGACAATGGCTATTCTATACCAACAGAGGTATTCTCTCTGCATTCTACAATATTTGTAAGGTGTGATTTTGACCAAATTTCTAACTCCCCTTAATATCTGCAAAACATCCAGAGTTTGACAACTCAGTTTTCTTTTGATTCTAGGCTACCACCTGCTCTTCTAACAAATGCCCTTTCTGCTTAAATGACCCTGGCAGACTTCCCAAGAGTTATGAAGGATACAGCCCATGCTTTTCTTCTCCTGGCCTGTAGTTAGAATGAGATTATATGTACAAGAGTCTTCCAGAAAACATGGGTTCTCTTCACTGTTCTAATCTAATTGTGTAAACTTAAGGCCTTTATACTCTTCAGTTTATTTAGACTGGGTATCCATCAGCTTGTTAATCTAAAATAATGAATGCTTAGCCAGTTACAGCGGTGTGCACCTGTGGTCTCAGCTACTAAGAAAGGTGGGGGTCGGGATGTCAAGGCCAGCCTGGGCCACCCAGCAAGATCTTGTCTCTAAATAAAATGTGGAAACTTTTTTTTTTTTTGAGGAAGAATCTCATTAGTAACTGGGACTACAGATGCCAACCACAACATCTGGCTATTTTTAGAGACAGGGTCTCACTCTTGCTCAGGCTGGTCTTGAACTCCTGAGCTCAGGCAATCCACCCATCTCAGGTCCCTCAGAGTGCTAGGATTACAGGAGTGAACTACTGTGCCCGGCTGAGTTTCAATTTTAAAAAGGAAATCTGTTTCACTAAGTACTACTACCACTTACACTCTTATTTTTAAATATAGCAATAAAAAGCACCAAAATGTCATCATCCAATTCAATTGTCCTTTAAGAACATATGGTTCTTAATCCATCACAGGTTCTATAAAACTATGTAGATAAGTTAAGATGTATGATACAGAGCTGACTATGGTGGTATTTGCCTGTAGTTCTAGCTCCTGGGGAGGCTGAGGCAGGAGTACTGCTTGAGCCTAAAAGTTTCAGGCCAGACTGGGCAACATAACAAGATTATGTCGCTAAAAAAAAATTAAAAATTGGGCAGCATCTGTGGCTCAAAGGAGTAGGGCGCCGGCCCCATATGCGAGAGGTGGCGGGTTCAAACCCAGCCCCGGCCAAAAACTGCACCAAAAATAAATAAATAAATAAATAAATAAAATTGAAAATTTAAAAAAGGTATCTAGGCTGGGCATGATAGCTCATGCCTGTAATCTTAACACTCTGGGAGGCCAAGGTGGGTGGACTGCCTGAGCTCACCAGCTGGAGACCAGCCTGAGCAAGAGTGAGACCTTGTCTCTAAAAATAGGTGGGGGTTGTGTTGGGCACCTGCAGTCCCAACTACCCGGGAG